TAGTTTAAAAGCTTCCTTTCAAGAACAGCCATGATTAATCATATTGATATTGAAGCATCATCCTATGAATTTATATTTAAGGATATATAGAGAAAAAAAATCTTTAAAAATCTGCTCAGGAACAGCAAAGCCATGATAAGTCATGTTGATAAAGAAGTATCTTCAAGTAATGTAGATTCAAATTTGTTCAAATAATGACCCCGAGAGGTAGGGCGGGCCACATCTTTAAAATTCAAGAACACCAAAGCCATGATCAGTCATATGAATATGGAAGCATCCTCAGATATTGTTGATTCAAGTTTACTCACATAACGACTGTAGGTAGGGTGGGGTCACAACGGGGATAAAAGTATTACATAAGAATAAATACTAGAAATAATCTGCTGATTATAAACAGCCGGGCTATATTGATTCAGGTGAGCGTTGTGGCCCATGAGCTTCTTGTATTTTTAATTCATTGAACTTTCACATTGACATTTATTTTCAAACACAATTTATATGTATTATTTTTTGCCTTAAAAGTGTTGTCAATAAAGAAAACCGAAAATGATTTACAGTAAACTCATTCATGTATGGAATACTATCTTTGTATTTTTGATTTTTTTTAAAATAAAGATTACAATTAATTTTTTTCGATCATCCAACTGTGAATTATTGACATGTAGATTAAAAAGCATACCAAATGAATAAAAAACGTTCTGACAAAACATAAGGTCAATTACCTCAATAATTCAATTGACCTTGCAATGTTTTAAGATAATGATTTTTAAATGTGTATTTAAATTACATTGTAGTAATATTAACTCTTTTTAGGAGTCTTTGTTGAAATTCTAATACCTTTGCAAAAAGACTGTGTTGTTATTTTATTTCTTCAAAGACCATAGTTCCTATGTATCTAGATAGGATTTGTTCATTGGTAATTCAGATATTGGTAAAGTCATCTTTCCGTAAGTAGACAAAGAGAAGGTCGGTGTGTCACATAGAAAGATATAGCTGTAAAATAAATCAAAGACGTATTTCGTTCATAATTTGTAGTTACTGACATATCAAATAACACTATTTTGAGTATTTCTAGGACAAGGACAAAGACTAAACACGCTAAATATTAGCAAGCATATCTGTTCACATGCATCCGTCAAATCTGAGTAAACATTAAGCCGACTGTTAATCCATGGTGGCATTCTGTTTTATGGCCACTGCATATAAATGATCTACATTTGTTTACAATGAGGTTGCCATATTTGGAGTTTTCTACCACGTGATAATATGAATAATAGAATAATAAAAATAAAACGAAAGTATATATTATGGAGTCAATTACACACGGGTAAATTCTTTATTATTTTGTTTTATAGAATCATGCATTAAAATGTTTCAGTTAACATTATTTTCCAAACTGTATGATTTTTTGTTGAACAATATCTTCCAATCATAAACAAGAAACTAATCTCATTTACATTTTTATGTGCTTTTTAGGTCACCTGAGTCATTGAGGTGTCCTATTGCTATCTGTTTTTGTTCGCCGTCGTTCGTTGTCCGTCGGTCGTAAACTTTTAAACATTTTCAGCTTCTTCTCATAAACTGCTGAACCAATTTCAACCAATTTTGGTGTAAGGCATAGATGGGCAAAGGGGGGGGGGGGCAAAAATTGTGAATTTCATGCTCCCTGCTCCCCTGGGGCCTGCGAGGTGGGGCCAAAACCATCAAAATTAATGCTTTTTTTTCAATCTTCTTCTTAATTCCTGGATATCAAGCAGTCAAACTGTTTACATGATTATAACAAGCAACGAGTCCTTTACCTGAATTAAGAAAATCGTGGCCCTAAGGTCCGGGGTTCAGGAGTAAGGGTGGAACTCTAGAGAAAAATGCATTGATTCTTTGAAAATCTTCGATCTTCTCTGTTCTTAGGTACTAAGCAAATAAAGTAAGTGCATGTTAATGATGAGTAAGAGTGCCTCTTCGAAAATTGTGAAATTCATGGCCCCTAGGTCAGGGGTTCTGGTGTTAGAGTGGGGCTCTATTATATTGTGAAAATGCATTAATGTTTTGAAATTCCTTTTTTGTTCTCCTGGGCAGGAGGGAAACAGAATAAAATTGTATTGAGCAAGGTTTTTACCAGTTTTGTGCAATTCTGTACCACTGGCTCAAGTGTTTTGGTGCTTGCAGGGCTCTATTGAAACTTTGAAACTTTTTTATTTCACTGAAGCCCCCAACATGGGGTATTTAAGTACAATGGAAGTTTAACAATTGAACAAATCAGCATGTGAACAATTAACGTAATGAACTACAAAAAAATCTATGTGATGGACAGTACTGACAGTTGTTAAAAAAATCATTTAATGTTTACATTCTAGGAAGTTCAGGCCTGAAATAATTTAAGAACAGTTTTACAAAACTAGCTAAACCTATTAGTTCATATATATCAGAAGTATGCATCAGATCATAAAAAGATACTGTGTTTGGGTTCATATAAATACTGCTACGTATAAATTTCTGTTTTTTATTCTTAAAAAAAGACACTTAAATAAATGAAACTCATCACCAAGTTCATTGTCAGAGGTTACAATGTCTCTCAGATCTATCAATACTATTAAATCTACCAGCTTCAATTGGCAAGTTATGACTGACACAACAAAATTTACACAAATATAACCTAAGATCAGTTGGTAACATGTTTAGATAATTTTCGAAACCAAAGTCTCACTTGTACATTCTATAATTACCGTATATACTCGCCTATAAGTCGGTTTTTTTGGAGTTAAACTTTGGTCCAAAACTCTTTATCCGACTTTTACGCGAGATATAAAAAGAATGGTCAGTCATTCTACGATAAATGGACCAATTCAGAGTAAAAAACATGAAAAAAAATAATTGTTTCAAGTAGCAAAATAAACATCATAACTCTCTTAAGGGCATATCAGTGAACTTGAAAACAAAGAATTGTCCACAAATCTGGTATCGTTAACTTTTTACAACAATTTCAAGATACCATTGATTTTAATGTAATGTTACGGAAGTTAATACTTGATCAAGCCTTATTATTTTTTAAATAAAGCTGACTTTGACAAATTTTTCGTTTCTGATGTTCAGTAAAGAACGCTAAAGTATGATTCATGAAGTCTCGCATGAATCCGAATTTAAATCAAATTTTCGGGAAAAATATCGTTACGGAAGTAAATTCACAGCAATAAAAGTTAAAATTATCTTCAATAGTTAAAATCAAAGTTTGTTTTAGGATATTAAACAAAAGTATAAAGCATTCCGCTCCCAAAATAATAAAAAAAATTATACCTTTAATGCAAAAACTTTCCTGAATTACCGTTACGGAAGTTAAATTTTTAAGAGAGACAAATGTTTTGTCTAATTCATTTATGTCGAAAATGTAATCGTCTAAAAAAGCTGACTCGCAACTAGAATCGATGATATAAGGTTCCATGGTCACTTTCAGATAAGTTTCAGATCTTTTTGAAATCTGCATTTTATGCGTGAAATTTAAAATAAAATCGTTACGGAGGTTAATCGATTTTTACCGACATGCTTATGAATTTGCATGAAAGGATCTATGCATTTCCTTACGAGAAGTGGTTTGATTTCTTTTTATATAGAATAAAAGACATTTTTTAACATTCATTGCAATCTATTCGGAACGATTTTACAGCTGAAAATTTCATCTTGAAATTCATAAATAAATGAAGCGACATTAAGATTTGCAGTCGAATACGTTTTTCAACATTACATTATGTTCATATCAAAACTTTAACTGCATATATATCGGTGAATATTTACAAAACCATGTGTGTATGTCTTAGAGTTGAAATCGACCTTTAAATTTATATTTAAGATATTACAACGGTACATTTGTAAGCGATATAAAAAATTCTTAATTGGTCGTGTTTTTGTAGAATGAATGTGGTATTTTAGTGGGTCAATTCCTCTAATTTAAGCTTAAAAAATACAACCGACTTATAGGCGAGTATATACGGTAAGGCATTTTGAAGGAATTACTACATTTACATTCCATTGATCTTATAGTAAAATCTGTGTTCAGCTGATAGAAGTTACTCCCCTTTGCTATTCACCTATGATAATTAACCTATATGATGATTAATCACTGTAAATACTAGTAATGTATCTGATATGTCAATTGAATAAAAGAATTACATAATTATATACGAGAATTTTAATGTATAATATAAAAAGTACTTTTATAGTTTTTAATGATGAGGTAGACTTGAAAATAATAGATAAATGAAAATGAGACAAAATTACCTGATTTTTGTACATTATATGTTCAAAGACCCGGAGAGACCAATGTGAGAGGAAATGGGTTTACTACAAAGGCTTAAGCAATATTGTTTTTTTTCCTAGTCTGTATGTTGAAAGCGAGGTTGGGAATGTATTAGCACTGACAAGTAAAAAAAATCTACTTTATATGATTTCTTAATGAGTACTAAACTAACAAATTTGTTGATCCCTGGTCATAATATTTTTCTTGCTAATGGCTAATATATTTCCATTTATTAGTTTTGTTGTATTTTTTACTGTGAAAATTATCTAATCCGACCCTGTGCAATCTGTTTCACTGGGAATTCCCACCCTTATTTTCATTCCCATTTTACTATTTTCCATGTTATTTACCCTGTGTAACCTGACACCCTTTATATTCCGATAAAAACTTTGCCCCCAGTATATGTCGGATTAGTCAGGTTTCACTGTACTTCTATAAATCCTTTACAGTGTTGTATTATACTCCGGTGACCGTTAAGGCCCTTGGGCCTCTTGTTATTAATAGAATTGCATTGCCATTCGATCGATTGGCATACTGAGTAGTAGAAGATAAACTTTTATTAACTATCAGCAGTTATTCTATATTCTTTCGGCGACCGGACAATCCGGAATCATAAATTTGTTTAATAATGCTGTAGCAGTACTGCTATATAATTAACATTTCTTCATTTATTTCATTAATTTTAGTTAAGTTTTACAATATAGACACCGTAATGGCCACCAGTCCTCTAATGGCTCAAGAAATCATCCTCTGTTGTCTATGTGAAGAGAGACCAGCCCTGCTGCACTGTAATCCCTGCAAAACCAACTTATGTGAAGATTGTGTCGGAAAACATACTGTCACATCGACAGCATATCATGGAATAGTTAAGTATCAAAGCAGAAAGTTTCATTTTATTTTTCCGTATTGCGAAATTCACAACACAGAGAAATGCGTTGCCCATTGCCATGATTGTGATACACCAGTTTGCATGAAATGTTTGAGAGGGCCTCATAAAGGCCACGCTGTTACTGATCTTACTGACGATGTTACCACCAAAAAACACCAGGTAGAAGAACATACAACTGTTCTTGAAAGTATCATAAGCCAGTTTGAACTAGCCAACTTGGATATTGAATCCCAAATAGCAGATCTGATTTCTAGATGCGATGAATTGCAAACATCTGTCACAGAACAAGGCAAAGAATGCCATCGAGTTATTGATGATATTGTGAAGGAAAAAAAGAAAGACATTGACAAAATGAGAGAAGGTGCAATTCAAGATTTAAGAAAGTTCCAGAATGAAAACAAAACTACATTCCTGAACTTAAAAGAAACAGCACAACAGAATAAAAACATTCTTCAGTCAGTTAATGTGAAAGAAATCGTCCAATATCAATTCAGATCGTACCTGAGCATGCCATTACATGTAGAGTTACATCTACCAAATTTTGTTATCAAGAAAACTGATTCATATCTAATAAGCACATTGTTTGGAGAAGTTACTGGCCCTAAAATCCTTACAAAACCAAGTAAAAGGACGTATCCTGGTTTAACAGACGGCAAGAATTTTCTTGCTGAAACGGTTGAAATTAAAAGATTTTGTACCAAAATCGAAAAGATTCATCGTTTAGCTTGTCTTGATTCAGGGGAGGTCTGGATTTCCAGAGAGAACGATGGAATAATCGAACTATTCAACATACGTGGTTCCCCGGCAAAGGCAATTGTTTCCAGTTGTAGTAGTTGGAAAGGACATCCCAGTGATATATCAGTAACACCGGAAGGAGAATTACTCTATACAGATCGGAAGAATAGTTACGTTAATGTTGTCCGAAATGAAAAGTCTGTCAAACTGATAAAGGTTCCAAAGGATTGGGAACCTGCTGGAGTTTGTTCCACAAAATCAGGAAATCTGCTCGTCAGTTTACTTGCAATGAATTCTGAAGTATATAAAATTGTTCGTTTTGAAGACAAGGAGATAGTTCAGGAAATACAGAAAGACGACTATGGAAATCCTCTATTTAAAGGCGGTTCCTTGATGCTCTTTGTTACAGAAAATAGCAACGGGGATATATGTGCTTCTGATTGCAATGCCGATACCGTCACAGTGGTGAACAAGACAGGAAGACTCCGATACCGGTATAAAGGAGAGCAAACAATGGAGAAAAAATTTAAACCTTCTACCATTGTTACGGACGCTGTGGGTAACATTCTGGTAGAAGATTTCGGAAACGAATGTATCCACATCATTGATCAGGACGGAAAATTTCTCTGCAGTCTGGATTACTGTGGAAGACTGAGTATAGACAAACTAGGACAACTTTGGGTGGGAGAGTATGACAGTGGGGCTGTAAAAGTCCTAAAATACATGGAATGACATGTCAACAATAAATGTTATTTCCCTTCAGATACATTGTTGAAGTACAACATTTAAATAATATAGTAGTATTAAAAGCGAAACAAATCTATAAAGTCATTGCAAAAGTTAATGTTCATGACAGTGCGTACATGTAATACTGTATGTGCTATAAAGCTAAAAGTCATTGCAAGATTATTGACAGTGTGTATATGTACATATGTATTTACAAAGCTAAGAAATTTATTAGCCTGATTAAAATTCGTATATTGTCCAATTTTGTCACTTAGTTATTGTTGATTAGCTCACCTGACTGAAAGATGAACTGAGCTTTACTGATCACATTTTGTCCGGTGTAACGACGAAAAGTAATTCCGTAGAATATTGACCAGGGATCATTTTTCTATGTAGAAATTTGACCCCCCGGTTAATATTCTACGTAGAAAAATGATCCACGTTTTCGTAGAAATTATGGCCTTTGGGTCATTTTTCTCCGTGTGGATTGTAGAAAAAGATTGCTTTGAAGTCTATGGGGACAAGCAATTTTTTTAAAAATAAAAATTCAAATAATAATATCAAAAAATTTTGTCATGGAAAGATGCATTAAACATTAGAAATATAATGACAATTGAAAACGTTTTATTTTTTACCAGATAAGTTTTTTTAAGATTGATTTTTTTAAATAATTAAAAAAAATGAGATAACTCTTACCAAAATTCAAGATCATAAATTAAATTACCCTTAAATGCTTATAGTAGTAAATGGGAATTATGTCTAAATATACTGAGTATTCAACACCTATACCTCTGATATGTATTCAATTTCATTGAATCTGTTGCTATTAGCGATGGAATACCTTAATAATATAAAATGTCAGTTTTCACAGTTTTAATTATCTAAATGTGCAAAAAATCAAAATAAAGTCTTCTTTCTTCTACATAAGGAATAAGAAAGGTTAACGTTTTTTAACTCTTCCCAATTTGCTTTTAAAAGGTCGATTGTTAAGAAAATTGATCTCATAATTATCTTTGAATTTCTATGAGAATGAAGTCTCAAACTTCTTTTCATAAAAATATAGGGAAGATTAAATATGTGAAAAAAATATCACACAGGACTGAATCAATATGCCTCTGACCTTCGATATCAGGGTCACAAAACGTGATTAGCTCAAAATCTTTATCAATGTTTTTTGTCGTTTGCTAGTGTCAACAAAGTTTTCACAAAATAAGGATTTTTACATTTAAAAAAAAATGATAAACAGAGGTATTTAACACAAGTCTATACACGGTAGTATCGTCTTCTTTCTCTCCCCACTCCTTCCCTCTCCCAACCTGTCTCCCCACTCCTTCTCTCTCCCACTCGCTTTCTCTCCCCCTCCAAAATTCTTACCGTTATTATAAAAGAAATTATAAAATGTTTATTCTTGATCTTTTTACTTTAAAATGGATTTGGCAAAATTGTTTATATTTGCCAAAAAAATGAAGTAATTTAAAATTATAAGGGCGATAATTTGAAATAACAGAAAATACTGCTTCCCAGTTCACAATTTGATCATTGCTTTATATGTTTGCGTATTTATTTTTATATGCTTGGAAAACAATATTTATATGTTTACTTACATGCAAGGAACATATGTCAGCTTGAAATTTAAGTTGGATATTATAATTGTTGTACCGTTATGAAAAATAGATGTGCGGCTAATGCCCTAAATTATCCACTTAATTTCAGAGAGGAGGTCTATAAATATCCTTTATTTGATCTAGTATGTAATAAGGGTTTGACATTCACTATCCTTTTCCCTTGTATGCTTTCAGTTAACTATATTTTCATAATTTTCTTGTTCAGAAATCGTGTCGTTGCAGTTATTGTTAACCAAAATATACTTGCATCATGACTCACTCGTTGTTCTACGCATTACCCGGTATTTCATATTTTCTTATTGCATATAAATGTACGTTTGGTGTTTGTTCTAATAAAACCATGTGTAATATTAACTTGTTGCATGGCTCTACTCTGCTAACCATAGATTTCCACTTAACGGTTTTGAATGGACATTGTTAAATGATTAACCGTTGGGCTATCAACGTAATTTGAGTAAATGTTCACCTTATTACAGGTCCTAGCAATGATTCTGGGAAAATTAAAATCATTCACTTAAGTAATAGAGCCATTCAATAAAAAAAAAAGGGTCAAGCAAATTGTGGGCTTAAAAAATTGTTACAAAGTTGCCTCTGTTGCGCATAGGCACCCTCCTTAATCTACATGTACATAACATTAATAAAGTTTATAAATCGTTAAACATTTGAAATAAGCATTCAATTCTAAGTCTGAGGGAAGAATTTAAGGAGGAATGCCACATCAAAATTTTATTTCATACATCTTTAAGACATCCCCTTTAAACTATGGTTTCAGCATTAAAAGGCAGATATAAGCTCTAAATTATTTTATAAGAATTTTTTCCAATTTTTCATAGAAAATGAAAAAAAAAAATTGCAAATAAGATGTTTTAGAGTTAAAAATTTGCTATTAATACATGCATAAAATGAATATCTAGTAAAATATGAAAACAAAAGCAAGCTGGACAATTTCCCAACCCCTATCATAAACCAAACTGCTCGAATACTTACATGTAACGGTGATCTCGTATGACATCCAGCTCCAGCCTTTTCAGTTTGTCGTCATTTTTGTTGGTCTACGTCGCCGTTTTTGGAAATATCTACATTATATTTCCATATAGCGTGGTAATAAAGAGATGCTATTTTGAAAGTCAAGAAATTGCCGTGCGTTGATAAAATGCCATTTTTTTTTTAAGTGTAATCACCTTCGAAATTGGTAGGAAAATTAAGAAAATGAACATTTTCGCTGTCTTTTGTCTGCAAACGTATTCCGCCTTCCGCCCGGTGAAACAAAAACAAACTTTAGTATGAATTTGTGAAATAATACCTGTGAAAAGGAGTTTTTGTTTCACTGCGGGGGGGGGGGGGTATTTTCCGTTTTCCATTAATTTCCATATTAAAAACACAAGTGTTACCCAAATTGTAAAGTTATCGCTCTTCGTTTTCCAAAATAAGTTGGAGGTAGGCGGCGGAACAATGTTATCGATTGCAATTCCACTTGTACAAAATTTAGTGGCCCGTTTTAATATTTTATTCTAAATATCAAGGTGTGATCGGTAGACTGACTGGATAGGATGGGGGGGGGGATCCCATTTACAATTCTTTGGGATCCGCCCACGTGCTACTGATGAACAGACGAAAGGTCCAAGTAGAGATGTTCCGAGTGGTTTCCGACGTCTGCCGCCAAATATTAAACAGAACGGTGTGAGTGGAAGAATGATGATACCATGATGGAAAAGATTGTCGATCTTTTGCTTTCTATATTTGAAATACTTTGGTAAGTTTACTTCTTTCGTTTGTACGATGCTATTGATTAATTGCTAATCTAAAATGCACTGATATCGAGGGCTAACTGTTAGTTGCATTGGAGGCTACTCTATACTCGGCGAGTCGCAGCTCAACAGGCATTGCAGAAGTTTGAATTGGATTTGCGAGGTCGTTTTATATATATCTCTCTCTCTCTCTTTCTTTGAATTCAGATATTTCTGTTGGATGTCAAGTATTATTTTAAAGGAGGGAGTTCTGGGGACAACTTTAAGGCTCACAGTGGGTCCATATAAACAGCTGCATGGTCTTGAAGGCCATGGTGAGGGTCCATGGGGTGAAGTCCCCAGATGCTCCTGCTTTTAGAGTGAAATGTAATCTTACAATAAAACTCCATTAGTCCCTAGCCCATAGTCTCACAGAGGCAGGTGGGTGCCCCAGGGTCACCTCACCCCACATATTCTTGGTATCAATCATCAAATTATGCAAAATTTCTCATCAGAAGAGTTTTGAATTTTTGCTTGTCATGCTTATTTGCTCATCTTTGAGTTGTGAAATCTTTATTGGATTTGACCCCCCCCCCCCCCCCCAACACAGACAACTATGTAGTCACAAACACTCAAATTGTGTGAAGACACCTCTGGAATCAATATCTGTCTTCTCATTTTTTGTTTAGATCAATATATTTGCAAATATTTTGGGGGGAGAAATTCTAGCTATAAAATCTGCATGTGTTAAAAGATTTTTGAGTCTGAAAGACTGCTACATACACAAATGATGAAGATATGTATTTAAAAAAAAAGAAGAAGAAGAAAAGGTCTAACATTTTCAATGTTTGTTTATACTGAGTAGTAAAAATATATGATGTTGAACCACTTGATGAGATTTTGACCTGTTGGTGAGATTTGGACCGCTATGACATTTTTTACGTCACAATTAATTTCTATCCGTTGATCAGGTGAAACATTCAATAAGGGTCAATAAACAATGTCTAATTTGCATTCTTTGGTGTTGGACAGTACAATTATGGCATTGACCAAGTTAATTTCTATATATCTTATATGTCTGAAAATTTTAAAAGTACATCGCTTATGCAACCTTGATTGAAATTCAGCATATTCAAAATGCTTACGAAAAATATACTTTTGAAATGTACTCTGTTTTATACCCGTGGTTTGAGGTAGAATTTATTTTGCGTGTATAAAAGAGTCTGGTGCAGGTGATTTATGAGGATTAATCTGAGATTTTTTGTGGAAATCTGTAAGAAGAGGTTGTTCTTTAACTGAATCTTGCTTGGAAAAAATCTGTGATGGCTTTGTTTTAATACAGATTACAATATTGTGTGGAAAATACTCTCAAATTTGTAGGTAAGTTGAATTTCTCACGAAATATTTTTTACCCAAGTAATACTATGACTTTTCTCAAGCACATTTCGGGTACACAAGGAAACGATAAGTTTATTTGTATAACAAAATGTTAATAATTATTGTGTTAATCAGTTGCGCCGAAGCAATTAATGTGAAGCACTTCAAAAAATTATAAATGACCGTCACGTGATCAACAAAGTCATGTGATATCATATCGAACATGTTAATATATAACCGAGGGAACCCTCGATATAAATTGGAAGATCTAAAGTAC